CAAATACTGAAAATGCGCTAATTAGTGTACATCTGACAATAAAAATCGCGCCACTTGACATACACCCACATTATCAAATGCCAAACTGGGCTCTATAAGGAGTCATGCCCTTCATTCCGCCGCGGACATGTCAAATCTTGTCAAGTACTGAAACTTTTTTGCGATATCAACATTTTTTTTTACTTACGAACGCTGTATCATCGCCCCTCTACACTAACAACTACTTTCTACTAATGAAAATCGCGTTTTCTGTAGTATCAGCTACTCCGTCTAGTTCCTTCCAATCAATCAATTCGGTAAAAACTGCAAAACCTTTTTGTGAAAACCAGAAATATATTGGGAGCGAAATTCATGAGCACATGTGATTCGCATTTATGAAATGATTGATATATAAGTGTTGCTCGCAGTGTGCACATCTGATGAAATGTTCTTTTGTGCAGTGTTCAAACTCGTAATTCCCTATAAGAACAGGTGGAAGGCAGCATTGAGCAAGAGTTTGAAAGGGTCCAGGATGACTCTCAATATAGCCCGCGGCATACCATGAATGCAGTTGAAAATTCCTGAATTTTGCAGCACAGAACTGCGAATACAAAAGAGAACGAATTGAGCCACAAGCACTCATGCGGTAGTTTAATTCATAGGTGTCTATGTATGGTGTTATATGTTTATTATTATATTCTTAGATGGGAGGAAAAAAACGCACATCTTAAGGTTGAATTTGTGACGTTATAGAGGAGGAAATGTATATCACTTTGAGCTGTTTACCATCTGGTAAAGCCGTAGCTATACCAGTATGGTCCCCGAAGGCTGTCCAGGAGTCAATAATGAGCAGTACTGAGGCAGGTGTATCGGCGGAACCTACTCAAGTTCGCACCCTATCTAACAGGAGCGTTTGATTCATAATGTGGGTTGTGTTTTATCTAACTTCCAAATTCGGCGTCTGCAGAATATTATTGCTTGGAAAGGTTCCACCAGCTTGCTAACATTAGAAACTCGAGGCATCGCAATAGCTGTTCACCAGCGCCATACCTGACGCACAACGTATAACTTTTTTGCAAGATGTCCATCCGCGTAGATAAGCGGCATAATTGTGAAGGAGTACCCTATTGCCGATGTGGACTGCACGACTCTTTCTATTTCTTCAGGTCCTTCGGAGTAGTGAGCGTGCCGTGTGCATTTCCTCACATAGTTTCCATTTCTGCTTAACAGAAACTTCGATCTTAAATCATGTAATTTTGCTTCTCTACCTTTTCTTACTTCCATAACAAATGCCCACGCTTTCTCCGCAGTTTCTGCCCTCCTCGAGAAATTCTGCTTTAAGTAAGATGTGGAGACTTTTCGGGACACTACGCCACAGCTGCTTTTAAAGCTGGTTATCCAGGATTGGCCAGCTTTAAAATTCTCCATGTGAAATTCTTTTCGATTGAGTTTTGCGGCAATTCGACGAATATCCAAGTCAAGGATATTCCTTTTTCAAACTTGATAAAGATTACTCTCTACAAGAGCACGAAATCGATGCAACCTATCGGCTCAGGTTCGATCTGTCAAAGATGGCTAATAAGAAAAATTAGCCCCTCAAGGGCCGCATACCTTGATGCTTAATAAGCCTTAACTTTTGGAGACAATCCTCACCTTTGATGAACCAAAAGTGTTTTGTCACGCCAGAGAGTGGGCGATGTCCTTGTCTTGATGAGCGGTAAAAGCTTCCAGCTTTTTGCATCTGTGCTACTTTTTTCCCTGCTCATATTTGAAAAAAATAAAATACACACCATTCTCTCTGCGACGTATATTTCGCCGAATTTCACGGACCTTTGCCTCCACTTCTCCATTCTTCATCATTGGCCTTCCACAGAGGATCACCTCCCATCCCACAACGATGGCCTCTTCTTCTGCTTCAAGTTCTAAATTATCCACAATTGAATCTCGCAATATGGCTGCGGAGTTGTCTATCTCTTGTAGTATCCAATCCTTTTACAAAATATGCCAACAACACTTCTGGCGAGAACATAGCGTGTCAGAATGACTTGAAAGCCTTTTTTTCCATTTTACTGTAATCTCCTGTTACTTTGTGGCTAACATGTAATTTTCTTCGTTACTTTATCCCCTTGGTCCTTGAAGTGAAAGTTTGTCATGATTAATACATTCGTTAGTAACAAATTGATCCGGTCCTTGCTTCGCTTTCAAATTGTTATTCTCTCTGTGTTGCAGTCGGTGGTATTTTTATATTATATCTCTGATGAGTTACAATGCTAGTGTAATTGTGCTACGAACCAGACGGAGTAGCAACCGATACTACAGAAAAGGCGATTTTTACTAGAGTAGTTGTTAGTGTCGAGGGATGATGATACAGCGTTCGTAAGTAAAAGAACAAAAAAAATTGGACTTGCAAAAAAGTCTGCAGAAAAAAATGTCGAGTTCTCGACCTGCTTCGTAGACTCCGCGCTCCACTAAACTAGCCGTGCACGCTAATCTTGCTTCAAGAAAGGTACTTTAAAGAATACTTGATAAGACTTGACATGTCCGTCGCGGAAAGAGGAGCATAACCTCTAATAGAGCATCGCTTGGCAGCTAATAATACATATTTGAGTTCAGCGTTTCACGCAGATTTCAACGATATAAAGCTTAGTTGGAATGGTTGGGTATATTGCTCACCATTCCCTCGTCAGTTTCCTTGACCATTTTCGGTCTCTTGCATCGAAGTCATGAGTCCGGATTTATAAAATACCGGATGCTACCGAAAATAGATGTACAAAACTTAGCGAAACCTCTTTAATATTGAGTAGTACATTATGAAAATCCGCAATTGTGCCGTAAAGAATGGTGTCAGAACGGCCAACTTAGACCATATCTCTCTTAAATGGTGACGCATTTTGGAGAATTGCATATCGTATACTCAGCAACTTTGACAACGAATAGTTGTGCCCCGACGCCGGACAGTTGCTTGCGCAAAAGGCCGGCATTACTGCCGTAGCTATTTCTTCACACGCAAATTTTACCGTATTTCACCTTCAGTGCAAGCACACTATATTAAGCGGAAAATCTACTCGACTGTGTTTAGATTGGGATTTACTCACTTTGTCTGACAACAATACTGCCCTCGGTATCATCTTCTAAACATATGAAGCTCAATGTCTGCCTGCGTGTCTAAAGGCGACTAGCTTGCATGTTATAATTAGATTTACCTTTGAATCAGACTGGAAGACCAAATTTTAAAATTTCTTGCATACAAATTGTTACATGGATTTCAAAAAATGCGCCCAAGTGTGCTTGGCTCACGCGCTACTAAAAAGTGCATAATCGTTTTCTTTCAACATATATAAGAAATTTATTGAATACTAAGGAGCTGACGAACTTGCAAAATTTTGTAAAGCCTATGTCCCAACCTAATTATTTTCGTGTGTTCTCTGCTCGAGTTCTAACAAAATTTTGAAAATGTCAAACGAAATTAAGCGTGGTCAAGCAATCTGGCGCCAATGTTGAGCTGCAATAGAGCAAAGTCTCTCCTACATTCTTTCAGCGTTTACTAGTATTCCTTTTTGAAAGCCGTCCTAAACTTTTTATTCTGTTGCATTGTTCGCTTCTTCGCATCATAGAGCGCAAGCAAGTTAAATGCGTATAATTCAAAGTATATTGCAGCGTCGAAAAAAATGCGAGCAGTTTCTTGATGCAAAAGAGGTTGAACCAACTGTTTACTGCTGCTTTCGAGCTTATAAAAATCGAATTCATGGGTAAAACTGTCAAGCATAACTGTGTCACATTCTTTTCTGAACAGTCTTATTGTTAGCATTCTAAAGGAAAGTCACGAAAGTTCGCGTGTCGCTTGCTGAATCAAGACTTATCATGTTTGATTCCAAGATATCGTTACATCTTTTGAACATCTCTCATGATTACCTTAGATCATTCGGTCATTTTCGCGTCCTATCAAAACGAGCACAAAGTCTTCAAAATGCGCAGTGGCGCAGTCAAACACTTTTTTAGGAACCACTTTTCTTATATATGGTCTGACGACATCATGAGCGAGGAAATGCCTCATATAGCTGTATGTGCAAGTCTGCCCAGTTTCCAACTTTATCAGTGTTCTCCGGAATTTACCATACTCTCTAATCCATTTAAAAGCTAATTCCTAGAAGCCTATAACGTGCGAGACCAGCAATTTACATCAATTTAGGCTCATCAAGCCATGATTCGAATGCTCGTTCCAAATGATTTATGATGAAGTCGCTTCGTCTGGTGTTAATTTTATTTGCTCGTGGCAACAGTTCGAGCCGAAAGAACAGTTCTATCAGATTTCGAACAAACAAAACTTGTAGATTACTAAGTAGGAGTTTTCTGCAATTCTTGCCTACTAGTACTCTACAAGTTCTAACTTTTGTGAAGCTTGGTTTCTAATGGTTATGAGACAGTCAAAGCCTGCTGGTGATTTTCGAGTACGACTGCGGTCTGTTCCAGAAGTCACTCTAAGCTGCTCATCTATGTGCCGAAAGACTTCCAGGATATTGCAAAACATTAGCCCTCAGCTCACTAAATGTGTTTTTTTTCAAACCAATCTTGCATCATCCATAAGGAAAGTTCTTGGCAGAATACTGCGCAGAATTGCCCCTTTAAATACCTTACGTTCTTGAGCGTTGAGAATGCGACTGTTTACAACTCAGCTATAAGAGCGATCTCTGCACCATTAGTGGCAATCTCAAAAATAAAAGTCTTTCTCTAAAACTTCTAAATGGCAACTTCTATCAGCCTTTTGATGGTCTCTGATCATGTGACAACATCAAGGACATAAGAATCAAAAAATCTTTTGATTGTATAAACCTCATCTCACATGATTGAAAGTTTTGAATAATAAAGCGTGTATTAATCGGATAACGTAACAGTATCAGTTGCAGACTGCTGAGCAAATGAATAGCTGGAAAATATTGATACTACAAACATTTCTGCCTACAGTGACGATAATACCTCTTTATTTCATTTGTGATCATGCATACGGGTTAAAAGGCGTTACAATGCCACTATTTTTAAGTGCTATGGATCCAGCCTATGAAAAGGTTAGTACTGCCATAAAATCAAAGAAGAACAGGAGTAAGTATTTTAGGCTATCTATATCATCGCTTTCATCTACCGCTCTACCGCACTCGTACTTTCCATTCTTGGTTATATCTCTATGTTCTGTCTAGTACGAAAGAAGGCGTGCGTTTATGTTTGTTTATTTTTGTTTTTGAAGTTTGACCTAATTAAGATTGCAATGTACGGAAAAGAATTTACGACTTTATTTACTTATTTCTCGTTCCTTAGTTTGATCAAACATCAAACTACACAGAAAACAGTATTTGTTAGCACGCGGTCGCATGCTACTAATCTTAACACTCTTCCCGTTTCTTTTTTCAAATGAAGATAGTCACCATGTGTTCAAACCCATCATCTGCCCTTTGTTTTCTATCCTAACATCTGCCCTTTGTTTTCTTTCCTAATCGTCAAATCTTTAGTGTTGTTAAGTTCTGTCAAATAAGTAGCTCTAGTAGCAATAGTAAATGCAGCCAAATCATAGTTAAGAAACTGTTTTTGAGACTATCCTTAAAAAACTGTGCTCACAAAATTTTTACTGATAGTTGGATAAAATCTGTTCCAATAATTTCATAATCATAAACATGCAAATCCAAATATCATTGCCAACTTCGAGCTTGCTTAACGATCTCGATGCGCGGCACACTAGATTTTATTTTTTATGTGCCCGATAGTTCAATTTGTGTTGGCCATGTTGGCCCCGCCTCTTTTGGCAAAGTTCGCCCACTCCATTTGTTTTGGACTTTTTTGTGCTAAAAACGCATAGGAGGGGTCTTAAATGACTTCGGAGCCTCAAGCAGCTTTGATCTTGGCCGCCCCGTCATGCAGGCTCCGCCTTTATGCAACAAGTTCCACCCACTTTTCAAAAATGCCGGAGTATGCACGAATTCGTAGGAACATAGATGCGTGCATATATCACAGCCAGGCGTAAAAGTGCGCGGAAACACATCATCCACAGGGACAGACTTGAAAAAAAAGGCTCGTTGTCAACAAGAAAACTTTCGAAATTTAGTTGATAAAAAGTATAAGCGCTAAACGGTAGTTGTTTCGACGCATTTCTTTTCTTAGATGCAGCCAGTAATTCAGATGAATAGGATTTGATCTTTTGTGCATCACGCAACCACAAAAGATGACATATCATGCATGAGTAGCTAAAGATTCATCATGCATGATTTCACAGAACGGGTTATATCCTGCTCAGAAAAGAAGGAAAAGTCCATTTTATTCAAAATTTTTGGCAACTATATCAGTCTGGTACACCGGAGTGATCCTGAAGACATGTAGACCTTGTGTTCTTTGGATGCTTAGTCGATTCTTTGAGAATTTTGCAGTATTTAGATCAAAAGCTAAAAAAAGGATTATTTCTTCCTTATATTCAAAGAGGAACTCAATAAGAAAGTGTAGCTTTACAATAGTGTACCATCATTATGAAGTGACAATCGTATTGTTCTCTACATTGAGCTGTTGTAGAAAACGCAACGAAAAACGCGTTCTGATTCACGGAGGAAGTCTTCTGGCATCGCTATCAGCTTCTTTGATATGTACGATAGTCCGAGGAACCCAGATAGGAATGGTGCGTTTTAACTTGTTTGTTTTCAAACACATGTATGCTGTGCTGTATTTCCCGTATGCAGCAATCACACTTTTATATGCGGTGGAAAGTTAATAGGCGGATTTTTGCTCTCTACTTTAGGAATACGAATTGATGCGAGTGTTCTACTTCACAGTCTTTTTGTGGGTTCCGTGTACTGATATAGTGACAACATTCTGGATTGTGGCATCTTTGCGGCATAGTGTTAACCCATTCAAGGCACCGAGAACAGTAAGTATACACTCAAATACGCATTCCACTGCGATACAAACAAGTACTAATCAGAGTATAGCTAACGCTAACTCGAAGATTGCTTTCCCATCTTCTCGTCAATAAGAGATTTGGAACAGAGCCTTCTGCTGAAGACGACGAACTTTCAATGTTAGGCTGGTGTATAAATAAAGTTTTGTTGAAAAGTGGTACTGCTCACAAGGCACAGTATTATGCTGTGGCCCAAATGATGATAGACAAACGTACAGCTCATTAGAGCCTTAAAGAAATTACGCCCGATGTTATGCGCTGGTGTTATGCGTCATGCTATGTGTTATTATGTTAATGTTATACATTGTTATGCTTAATGTTGGATAAAATCTACCCAAACAAAATATAAATTTTAATTCTGGTCGAAGTGCTCTTTGCAGAGACACCAAAGATAAGAACACTGGACAAAATTTACCTCCAGCATTTGTAGGAAGTGGAAAAGCGGACGGAATTATTTATTAGCCAACCTAATAAACCAAAAATAAAAATTAATACCTTGAACTGTCACTTCAATTCGTCAACAACAACATATTCATTTTGTAAAATTATAGAATTTTCATAATGCGTAAGATATCTATCTAACTTTTCATTCGTTTATCTATTTATGAATATCACCTTTGTAAAACTTGCTCCTCCACTCCTACACTCATGTTCTCATTCCATAAAGAACAAGAAAAATCAATATATCGATCTTACAACTAAAAGTTGATAATCACAGAAATTGTCCGAAACGAAGCTGATTCATTTCAGCGTTTTCGTTTGTTGTTCATAGAATATTATGATTTTATTGGTCCAGGTTTTGCTTCAATTCCAAACAAGAAAACAAATTATCTCGATTTATCATTAGTTAATAAATTATCAACAATATATACAACATAAAAAGCGCGGCGGATGAACTCATTCTACTCCCTGCACATCAACAACTAGCGAATTCCGTCGGCAATACAGCCTCATAGTGTCGATGGCCCTTTGAATCACATTACTGTTGGTCTTGACGCAAAGTGAACGAAACCGTCGCAATGAGCCGAATGCGAATGCGTTCTGAACGTGATGTGATCATCATGGACGTTTTGATGAGTTTGAACGCTTTTGGGAGAGAAAAGCTTACATTTCGTAAGGGAAAACAGTGTTCGTCGAATTGAAGCACCAAGGTTTCGTAACAATGGTCTCGTAGTTCTTTGTTGAGTTCGAAATCGCCTTGATGCTCATTGATAGATTCACGAATAAGTTGATGCAAAGTGTCGAAGACGTTACGAAAGAGTTCACGTTTCTGTAAATAGAAAAAAATAAGAGATTTTATCACAAGATTCTAGTTCGGTTTCTTAAGAACATTTATGGAAGTTCAAAAGATTCTATGAATCTGTAGCAATAAGTGGAGCGTGAAGATGAAAATTCATCATAAGTAGTTTGATGAAGTACGTTATTGTCTCAATGCTATTTCTTATTGTTAGTAGTAGATAATATAGACTTTCGTTTTGCCTTTAAAGTGTAAAAGCATTCAAATTATTTCATTCAAATGTCAATTCAGAAAAAAACCCAGTCACAAATAATTCTAAACAAAATCTCATTGTAGAAGAGACAAAGCACACATTTTTTTTTTTGAAAAATGATGCAGTCCACATGTTTATGAAATGTTGAAAATGTTGCCGCAGATCAAATCATATAGCTTGTGCACAATGGCCTATCCAGGATTTCCGTTCGGGGAGGGGGGCCAAAATTTCTTCTGATAAAGGTGCGTGGCCTCAGCCACGCGCTCCAAAAAAGTTTTTGATCTACCCCCTAAAATTCTCGCGGGCCCATGACCCCGAAATTCCAGAAAAGGGGCGTGGCTCTAGCCATGCTCCTGAAAAAAATTTTTATAGGGCTAAAATAAAATTTTGAAATTCCAGGAATGATTTTGATTAATTACGTATGAACAAGTCACTCGCACATTTTTAGAACCCACGTAAGTAACTTTCAAAAACTTCGCGCCATTCCCCCACCCCTCGGTACGCCACTGCTTGTGCAGTATTTCAGAAAATTAATTTCTCACGATTCGCACAGTTGAAATTTTTTTGGTTACTGAAACGATTATTTCATTCATCCAGGTAAAAATATTGCTTCACTTTCATCGTTATGATTTTTACCTTATAAAATGGTTATTCTTTTGACGCATCCAACTACAATAAACCTGCAATCAAAAGACATTCTTTGAATTAATTATCAGTGCGTTTACGTAAACTCACTCAATGGCAAATGATTTTATTTTTCGCTTAGCATTAAAAACATTTCATGCTACTGGGATCTTTCATCCTCCAAATTATATTCACAAGTCATTTTCGTTCAAATATATTACTTCCCATACAGCTGACGAAATATCTGCAAAACATTTAGGAAAGTTTTGCCGGGTCACCTGCGCAACTTCCGAAGAATTGAACCACAACAGCAAAAACGAACACCTAAGGGAGATTGGAAGTTTGCATTATTGAGTGCGGGACTCAATTACTATCCTCTGCACTACGGATGAGTTCGAGAATGCACTTTAGCTATTGGACAACATCGTAAAAGACAACGCATTAAAAAATGTGCGGAAATACCGGCAGGTCAAAGAGCGGCAAAGTCACCGGCACTTTTTGGATTTTTTGCAGCATTTTGTAACAACCGCTGCGAAAGTTTCCGTTTTCAACCAGTCTGATGTGAAAATAGTGCGGAAGTACCATTAGCGTTTCCTCCTTTGTTGTAGAAATCAGAATCCTTCGGAAACGCTGCAAATTTTGCTTGTCCTGTGGAAGTTCCGGTGAATTGTCTGAGTTCTTTAGGCAGTCAAATTAGTCTCAGCATTTGTTTGCATATAAATCTCAAATTTCAGTCTAATTCTAGCTCTAGCTTTACGGAGTGGATAAACTTGCCAAGAAAGATATTTAGAAGTCAAAAAATTTTGAATCTAATGAAAACTATTCACGGCTCTGAATCATCTTGCACGATATATACCGGACACGGTAGGAGGTTAGTTCTACGAATCGTTCCAGTTGCTTACGGTAGGTTGCCCAGTGAGTGCAACAAATAAACACACTGCCGTAACCTACCGTAAGCAAAAATCGGAAACGATTCGTAAAATCTGGCCTACTACTATGTCCAAACAGGCACTTCTATAAAAAAATGTGACGCGCCTAGCTGAGTCGAATTGTGCCCTTGGATTAGAAATTCTTCTACTCTGAGGCGAGATAGACCACGCTACGGTGAAGTCACATAAACGAGCGAGTGTGCGTCGTTTTTTCAAAACGAGCAGTAGTGTAGCAGCAAAGTTCCCAATAATAATCTCAAAAATCCTCAGCAGCTTAAATGAGATTTCCAAGTCACTTACCTTAAAAGCCAACTCCAACTGCTGTACAGCATCGGATACGCGCTTATCCTCTTGAACCCCCTCCGCACTCATCACAAGCATGTGAATTGGGACGTCACGGATGCTCACCACTTTCTGGAATATGCACATGTCATTTAGAATTTTAAATAATGTAGAAAAATCAAGTTGGTCTGAAAGTCTTACACCAGAAAATTGAGGCTTGTAAAAGAACTCAAAAACTGTTTGAATGTTTAGAAAAACTAGAAATTTCTTTTAGTCAAATCGTTAGTTGCATATTGAAGAATTTGTTCAAAAAACAATGCGACAACATTGATATTCAAAAATAATGTAAAATAGATTGGAATATGAATCTTGCACCAAAAATTCTTAATTATGTTATATTTTTAATTGAAATAAAATTTGCTACATGTTGTTGCGCTTAAGTCTTACTACATTTTCTTCTATAAAAAAGTCAAAAATCGAGAATCATGTCTGTGAAAATTATATCTGTAGCACGAGTTCTCCTTACGATTGGTTGGAGAAAGTAGGTAAGTTTGAACTGGGGTTAAAAAATGATTTTCGATTTTTCAAAACCATTTAGACTGAAATTCAGGACTTAGAGAAGTGTTTCTTATCAGCTTGTGTACACAAGATATGCCAAGTCCGCATGATACTCCTTCCTTTCAAAATTTATGGAGCAAATTTTTTGAGCGAGAGGATGATATGCATTTATAAATCGATGGTAGGCTCGCATAAGAGCTATGCAAATGAAAAGATACCCACATTTTCAGAACTAGAGTTCACCATAACCGCCAAAACATTTCGGCTTGGTTTGGTGCCTTGGAAGTAGCCTACCGGCTCATTAGTCACCGCTGTCGAGCCAAAAATTTGCACTGTGGACGAGCTGTAAATGAAGCTCTCTGAAAGATTTTTCTGGAAGGACCAGCACTTACTGCACTTCCTTCTTTACATCGCTGTACTGCTCTTGGACAGAGAAACCCATTAGATTATGCTAAATAAATCCGTTGCGAACAGCTATCAAAATTAACAGGGTAGTTTTCTACCTGCTCAGAATTTGTCATCCACTTATAGCTAAATAAATCTGCATAACAAATTGCGCCAGCACAATTACATGCATAGGAGTCCTCAGTAGCACTTGAGGCGGTCAATCCGTTTACTGCAACCATTATGTTACGTAACTAGTGAACCAGTAATTAAAGGTGCTAGATTGCATCCGCGCGCTTCGGGACCGCACCGGGGTTTCCAGCTATTTGCACGTTTTTGAAATGCGCTCACGATTCTTTATATACAGGGTGTCCCAAAAGTATGTATCGAACGTTTGATCGTTAATAACTCTCTTCCCAAGAAGTCTTTTGCCTTGCTTCAGGTACCGTTTTGTAGAGCTGGCTTCAACTTAGATTTGCAGTATAGAACGAATCACTCATTTCTCTTCATTACTGTAGGATTACGGTAGAAACTTCAAGGAGGGTTTTAAGCAATGAAAGGCCATATTTTGCCCCAGAAAGGAAACAAAACAGCCTTAAAACTTTTACACTAGGCTAATTAGAGTTGCTGATTATAACTGTAAAGTTCCCAACTTATTATGATGCTTCATTGAAGAGTTACGCCAGGTAAGAAGTAGCGGCCATTTTTTCAATGTTCCTAAAAAGTGGGATTGCACCGTTTAGAAAGCTTCGTAATCTTGTGAATAGTTAATTATTGAACTCAGCGTCCATAAAAACCCTATTACACAAGTTTTCACGATTTTTTGAAAAATTTTGAAACGGCAGCTTTTTTCACATTAACACCATATGTTTCAAGTTTCTACCGTAATCCTACAGTAATGAAGAGAGATGAATGATTCGTTCTATAGTGCAAATCTAAGTTGAAGCCAGCTCTACAAAACGGTACCTAAAGCAAGGCAAAAGACTTCTTGGGAAGAGAGTTATTAACGATCAAACGTTCGATACACACTTTTGGGACACCCTGTATTAATGCGCTTACGATTTTTTATATATTATATCGAAAAGATGGAAGGGAGGAGAGGGGGGGGGGGAGGGAGAAGTTACATCTGCACAGTACCATTTCTGGTAAATACATACATATGACTGCTAGACTGTCTGGCATGAGTTGGTCAAAGGGGTACAAAAAGTGTTCAAAAGACTTCTAAAATAAAGGTAGAAGGCAATTGTCTTGTGTAGATCTCATATACAAATTTAGTATAAAAAAATAATTGTGGTTCTAGGCAAAAAAAGTATCTTCTAAAATTTTACTAGAATCTGCATTGACAACTTGAACTCTCCTTTCTTTACGAAAATAATTGCGTCCGATATTTTACAGTTTTTTTCTAGTATAAGCAATTTCAACTTGTCTAAAAGGATCAGTGGGGTAAACTTACCACGGTCGTCTTTTTCGAATCCTTCAAGTATGGATCCACTCTCACAGGCTTCCACATACATTGAAAGTTTGTGGAATTTTCCTGCATTGCGTGCTGCATTGATATAATTTTGCAGATCCGATTTTGTGATCTAAAGAAAAATACTTTGAGCAAATTGTATGGTAGTAGAGGTTGCAAAGTAATTTTCTTGATCAGAGGCAAGGCTGGACCTAAATTTTTCAAATGACTAAGCATGGGATCAGTACTTCCAACAAACTTTGGGAAACTCTCTTTTCCGTGGAAATCTCGCTTTGAAAAACAGAGGAAGGGAAGGGAGGTATTCTATTGGACTTTTACCGGTGGTCCACTTGGCATGCCCAAGATATTGTAAGCCCCATGATCGCTGTAGAATATGAAGACATTGTCAGCGGAAGTACTAAAATCAGACTTTACTCTAGTCACTCTTCTACCAATGAAAGTATCATCAAACCTTTTCAGAACCCTTCCAGACCCTCCATAAAGAGCTGCTCTGGCTGAGTTACCCGTCAAAACTGCCTCGAAAACGTATTTGTTTACAGCTGTGGTCCTGAGGAAGTTTTACTAAAATTTTATTTTTGACTTTGGTCAGCGCACCTGTAATCCACTTTCATTCCTTTCCGATAATCAGGACCATTCTGAATGTTTCGCAACTCTCCAGGATGTGGATTTCTGAAAAGCTAGGGAAATTTATGAAAATTTAGTCACGGAATTATGCAAAGATCAGCTTCGGCAGCGTTTCCTACGAAGGAAAAATAGGTGAAAGAATCTTCGAATGATTTGCTCACATCTGAAGAATAGTAACAAAAAACTGGTACCTCAGATCTTGAAAATTCTAAACATTCGTTTGAGATAGCCGATCTGTTTTTCCAAGCAAAAGATCCGAACCATTGGAATTTAATCATATTATTTTCAAAATTGGAAGAAGTTTTTTTGTAATGATTTATTCTTTCAATTTCGAAAATACAAATAATGACTAAAAAAACTCCACTAAAATTCTCAAAGTATTTGTTGATGAGCGAAAAAAAAGAATATTGTGAGAATTTGATTATTATCAGCACAATGATTTTGTAATTAAAGTACCCACTTAGGATCATAAGCGACGTCATCGTACATCATCGTTACGATATTCTCGGCAGGAACACCTTTTTCGATTAAAAGATGATAAGCATGAGCGACATCAGCCTGATAGTGATTTAACTTTGATCAATAAAAAAGATCTTTTTATTGAAACTAAAAATTGCTTACCTGATGTCGATAATTACTAATTCCATTGGATCCAGCTACTAACAAAGCGTATATAGATTGGGGTGCATCATTTCTAGAAGCAAAAATAATATTTGTATAATAGTAAAATAAAATTTTGTTAGTTTACTTACAATAAAGGCTGTGCTAAACAATAAATACGAGTAGCTAACAATGATAATATTGCGAAAATAGTGAAGAGCATCGCAAAACATTACTTGAAAGCATTTTCCGCTTATAAACCTAACAGTGTGTACCTAGACGAGTTTTATCTGAACGCGCCAGTCTGCCGCTTCCGCCTGGTATTGTTTTGATGAGCTAATAACACTGGGTCGTACCACGAACTGCAAATCTGGAGTTGACGCGGATGATGCGTCATATTAGAGAGTTATATATCCTAGTAGGGCTATGTCCAGTTCAATAAGATTGGAAGAGAACTCCCAACACTCTCCAATTTTTTGAGTCATTTTCCGGGCAGCTTATTTTGAAGAGATCTAATATATTAGGTCGTTTCAAAAGTAATTTCGCTTTTTTCAAACGGGCACCACGTTTGGCAGAACAAAGATTTTTGAGAGGTCTTAGAAGCATTCGATGCAGAATTTCATTCTCTTTCTAATGGTTTTGAAATTGTTGCAAAACATTCAATGAGCTTTCAGAAAATAATCAAAATCTGCCATACATGCTTTCTGAGATGATCAAGTTTCACAAATTTTTAAACTTTCATATCAATCCTCGGAAGGAGCTCAAGTAACGATTCGATAGAGTAAACCTTATAAAATACATTACTTATTTTCTCTCTTTCTCGTAGCTCGCCGTATTTTTTAAAAAAGATTTTTTAACGGAACCGTCGGATTTTGGCAGGTCCACCTCAGCCACAATCGCAGCAAACATCATAATTTTTCGGAATTTGACTACCAAGATGGTACTATGAGTTAGCATTAATTTTACAAAGCAAGTGTTTACGGGTTTGGAATATCAAAATTCGGATTTTCTACAGCCTGAGGCTCCTTAAAAAATGATTTGTGATGATTTTATCACCGAAAACTAAACGAATCGGAAACAAAAACCACCTGTGAGAAGATGCTGCATCGAATAGTGGCCGAGCTCCTCTTCTTTTGATGGTCTACGAGGATTTAGCTGCCTAAGTATGGAAAGCGGTAGCATCAGTCAAAATTCTGTCAAAAATGTATGACAAGCTATGGAAAGGATAAAAAAGTAGTTTTGCATTCTATAGGGTTTGCTCTATCGAACAGTTACTTGAACTTCTTCGGAGAAGTGATGTGAAAGTTTCAAAAAATTGTGAAACTAGACTATCTCAAAAAGCATGGGTCGAGACTTTGGTTGTTTTCTGAAAGCTCATTGATTGTTTTGCAACAACCTTGGCATCAGTGTCTGAACGCATATTCATTTTGCAAAGAGGGATAGATTTTTTGCTGTTTAGAGTTTTCTCTCGCATATGGAACGTTAACATGACGTTTCAGCTACAGGAAAAACACTATGAAGTTGAATTCGGAGAATCCATGACATTTGACCTCTGCGCGTCAAGAATAATCCTTTCTCTCCGATTTCACCTCACTCGTACAACAGCTGGGAACTTCACGAATGGCAGCCTACGGAGAACCATCTGCGAAAGCTCCTTAATCAAGGCCTAGGGACTTTCTAATCAGTGGAGGCACAGGACTTATTCGCGTTGATGTACACCATTGTAAAAATATTTTGCTCTCTTCTGCAAATGGCGTATCTAGTCAACGTTTTCGTACCTGTGATGACGTGAAAGGAAAATGTACAAAAGACAGCTACATCGATCCTGAAACAGTATGTCGATGAAATCCAAAACAAGCCTACATGGAGGTAACGGCCGTCCGCCCGATAGTAGTCTCCTAGTCTGGCGGCATGTCTTCGCTAGCCCGCCGCCACCGCAACGCAAAGGATCAGCAGACTGGACGGCTTTTGGTGTATTTAGGTAGCAGACCTCCCAAGTACACTGTGGCCCAAACTCCACTTGCCATTTCATGCTTTAAGTCCTGAAAAATGCGCTACAAATCTCCACCAGCCCCGCCCCTTTCCATTGAGTCGGCGGGGCTGGTGGAGTTTTGAAGCGCATTTTCAGGACTTAGCGCATGAATTGGCGGGTGGGGGTTGGGCTACAGTGTACTTGGGGGTCTACTACCTAAATCCACCAAAATCCGAGAAAGGTTCCATTCTGCCGATCCACTGCCATTTTGGCGAAAAGTAATGTACCACATTAGGCCGTGACCCTTTCCACAAAACATGCCTGATTGAGGATGCCGTAACGACCTTGACAAGTCTACATCGTACATATTTCAACCCCTCCCCTTTTAGAAGAATATTGGGAAGGGCAGGAGGTGTGCTAGAACTTCGCGAAGGAACCTGGCAGCACCTTCTTGGCAATTCCTCAGATTTTGGAGCAGCTGCTTGCAGGTCAGAGAGCAGAAGAGATAGTGTGCTCTTTAAAAAAAGTGTCCGCACCTCGTTTTTTTTAAAAAGTGAGAATTTTTATCATTGATGCTCTTCATATGTATGAAAAAGAGTTAATTCCATTCCTAGAAATTAGTGAGCATAGTCTTTTTTCTTTCAATGTCTTGTTTACAATTATTTAGCATGTCCTTTGTCCGTGTCAATCAGCTGCTCTTTCAGAGTCCAAAGTTTGCTATTGACATGCCCTCTTACGGACAAGACTTGTCTTTGCTTTTCTTTTATCATTTTCGAAAGGCGAAGGGTGCATGCTGATTGACGATGCACTGTTCTGCGTGAGTCTGCCTATATGAGTCCGCGAGCTCACCTGGAGTTGGCAACTTGCCGCGATGTGTGCCGACTGGGAGACGGCCTTTCTGAACCGCTAGCATTAGCAGCCTAATTACTGCGGCCTCTGATTGGTCAGCGCTGTTGCGGCGCTTGGGTAGGTGAAAGCTACGTTGTCGTTAGAGACGTTTGAATTGGACTGCAAAGGCATTCTCATGATAAAAAGAATTAGACAAGATTTCGAATTTCCCATGAAAATCGGAAATGTTATACGTGGGCGGCTTAGGTAAATTCTTCAGCTTACCGTGCAGAGTTAATGGTGCTTTGAAAAGTGGGGAAGGGCGAAGAAATCACGAAAGGCTAGTAAGAAGAACATGAAACTTTTCCAACTTTTTGTCTTTATAATTCAAACATCGTCAATATCATCGTTCGTGTGCCTCGCTTGCTTTGGAATGCTCAGAAATATTTGAAAACTCTGATAGATAATAAGTAAGGCGGAGTAATTAGCGCCACCGGGGCAGAGTAATTAGCGCTGGGACGAAGCGGTTCAGAAGGGCATACACCCCTATGGCTGAACAAAGCCTAGGAAGGATAAACATATGGGGTTAATTGTGCCGCAGCTATTTTGGAAGTGAGTTAGGGTAATGGAATCGATGCAGGATATCCTGCAGGATATCCTAGTTTGAGCAGGAGCACCAATATTCTCCAGTCCCTTACTGACATTCAAACTTTTTCCGTACTCGCAATCTGCGCTGACTTCAATCAAGCAAAATTTCAAATTTGTAGTATGAAAAGACCTAGAAAGTAGAAGAAAATGTGTATATCTTTGATCTATGTGGCAGTGACACCTTATTTGTTCACATCTCTGGTTTTGTGTCCAACCTGTGCCCTAATCCTTGTCTTGACTTTTTGTGGCAGCGCTTCTCAAGAGAAGCAAAATGAAGAAGAAAAGCTCAAAATTACTTGACTTTGAGTAGTGGTACAATCGTGCAGCATATGTCGCTGTTTCGTCTTCATTACTGCATTATCAATCGTTGTTAGTAGTAAGACATACCTTATTTATTCGTAAGGATAAAACGAATCTAACCTGTATTGGCATCGGTGAATCTTACTTGCAAAAAATTTGACAAGCACCAGAGTCGCTGAACATTCCACTTTTTTCGCAAAACAAAAAGCAGCGGAGCCCAAAAATAGTCGAAGATAAGGAGGTCAACGAACAGACTACAACAAAGAGAAATTTTGAGAGATACCTCGCGGCAAACTCATCGCATATGATTTAGTTTGAGAGATACCTAGCGCAAACTCATCGCATATGATTTAGACCCGTTAGAGCTGGGATTGGCAGCTCCAGTACAGCGCGATTTAGAGCATGGCTTTGGCACATTCAGGATCAAACACTTCTCCCAGTTTCTGCCATCTCGAATCAATTTTTTCTTGCTGTCGAAACAATGTTCAACTTTCCAGAGGGCCCTATATACCAGAATGCATATTTTAGTTAAGCTAATACGAGCTTTCTTTGTATGTCTCCATTATCTATACGAAATTGCAACGAGTCAAGGAAAACTTAAGCACTGATGAAAATTGCTCTACTTTTTAAACGCCTGCCCAAATCTTACTCGAATCTTATCCCGGTTTTAGAAAGGAAGCAGGCTGATTGTCATTTTTATTTCTCTCGGTATTCGATTTTATAAAACGAAGTTTCACTTACTAGTTACCAAGATCGTTTCTGTTTTGGCGCAAAGTTGCCATCATAGTTAGAACAAAGCTTATAACGGTAAATCACCGGATTTATTCGATGACAATACTGATAACTAGAAGCTGACTTGCAAATGTAGAATATAGAATGCCCTAATGATAAATTCATGTGGTAAAATTACATAGTTAATTTCATTTACACTTGCAAAAGGCATCGTTCGCACTGGGCTCGGAAATTACATCCTTGAGTCCATTTTTTCATCTAGTACTAATAACCACTGAAAATTCACACCATTTCCAACTATGCATACGTCCAATTCAATAAATAGATTCTGCTTCTTTAGCAAAAGCTTATTAGGCTCAAAAGTCTCAAATTTTGATAATTTGGAATTCTTCATGCATTGTATAGCTAAGTTTCTCTGCAAAAATTATTGGAAAGATGTCCTAATTTCAAGCTTACAAAAATGAGCGAAGTTTTAACGATTGCCTTAATCATGGGAAATGACCCTTAGCGCCAGCAGCATGTATTAGGTCGTTTCAAAAGTAATTTCGCTTTTTTTAAACGGGCACCACATTTGATGGAACAAAGGTTTCTGAGAGATCTTGGAAGCACTCGATGCAGAATTTCATTCTCTTTCTAAAGGTTGTGAAAGTGTTGCAAAACAGTCAATGAGCTTTCAGAAAATAACCAAAGTCTGCGACCTATGCTTTTTGAGATAGTCTAGTTCCACAATTTTTTAAAACTTTCACATCAAACCTCAGAAGAAGTTCAAGTAACTGCCCGATAGAGCAAACCATATAGAATGCGAAACTACTTTTTTATCCCTTCCGTAGCTTGTCATACAATTTTAACAGAATTTTAACTGATGCTACCGAAATTTCATACTTGGGCAGTTAAATCCTCGTAGAACGTCAAAGGAAGAGCAGCTCGGCCACTATTCGACGCAGCATCTTCTCCTCTTTCTAACAGGTAGTTTTTGTTTCCGATTCTTTTGGTTTTCGGGGATAAAATCATCACAATTCATTTTTTCAAGGAGCCTCATGCTGTACCTGAAAATCACGAAATTTGATATTTCGAACCCGTAAACCCTCACTTGCTTTGCAAAGTTAGTGCTAATTCATAGTACAGTCTTGGTAGTCTCAAATTCCGAAAAATTATGATGTTTGCTGCGATTGTGGCTGAGGTGGGCCTGCCAAAATCCGATGGCTCTATTAAAAAATCTTTTAAAAAATTACGGCGAGATATGAGAAAGAGAAAAAAGTAGAGCACTGTATTCTATGAGGTTTACTCTGTCGAATCGTTACTTGAACTTCTTCTGAGGATTGATATGAAAGTTTTAAAAAATTGTGAAACTTGACCATCTTAAAAAGCATGGGTCGCAAGTTTTGGTTATTTTCCGAAAGCTCATTGATTGTTTTGCAGCATTTTCATAACCTTTAGAAAGAGAATGAAATTCTGCATCGAATGCCTCCAAGATCTCCTAGAAACCTTTGTTCCATCAAATGTGGCGCTCGTTTGAAAAAAGCGAAATTACTTTTGAAACGACCTAATATTTATCTTAAGGGATTATCGATTTTCCAGTCAAGATATTTTTGAAAGATCTACTCAAACATGCAGTGGGTACACAATATTCATCCCCTATAGATGACGTTTTCAAAAGAATTCGTTCATTTGAGCCTGAATTGTGGCCAAGAAAGTTAAAGCAACGAATTTTCAATTTGGAGTGCAGCTGTGCGAGATGCTGGTGAAATTCTCACAGATGAGATAGAATTTAGATTTTACTTAGATTTTACCACTGTTGAAAAGTACATGAAGAAAGCATTCCAATGATATACAAAAACCGAAAAAGAAATTGCGGAGGAAGAAATTTGTTCGGAATGTAGGCCTGCAGAAATGGACATTATTTTTGCATCAACCTAATAAGCGTTCCAACTAACTAGAAAGTCGAAATATTACGACAATAACTTGAATCGGCTCCTCAGCAAAAACTTATCGTATGATAGCCCTTTGCTTCGTTACGTCTACACTTGCTCAGAAAAATGAAGTGCTTAACTATACATAGTTCAACTTTATTTCAAATCAATTGCCAAATGGCAAGGTAATACAGTCTACAATATAGCTACAAAACGACAATATCGACATATAGAACCAAGTCTACTAGAATAAAAGTGTCTGAATAATCTGCTTTAGTCGTCGAAGTCGTCATCGAAGAGGAAATCACGGAACGCTCGATCGCGTCTCCTTCGCGAAACGATCATCTCACGTTCCTCTCCGGGGAATATCGTTTCCAAGTTCAATTCTCCAATATCAAAAACTTTCTTCGCCTTCTTGCCTTCGGTAATATAGCTCTTGGGAAGATAGAATTTTACTTTGCGCGATCCGGGCTGCAATAAGGCATGTATGTGAGGCTCATGTTTGATAGATTCCAACCTTGATTCCATCATCGCAGTCATGATAGACTTTGAAGACCGGATCGATGGGTGTCAGTTCGGCAGTGCCTCCTTCTAGATGGAAGGCGCCGTTACCATCTGTATAACCAGCATCGAGTTCATCATCCGGGTCGGGTCCTGCAACAGTCTTGCTAAAATTAGTAAGTTGGACGTTAATCCAGTGTTCGTGATCTTAGATCTATGAAGTAATTTGAACTTCTTTTACAACAGTTGGAATAGCCTTCTCAAACAATCGCAAATGCCTTGCGGGGAAAACTGAAGTTATCAAACTTCCAAGGAGACATTCCTATTGGTTGCCAGGTAGGGCGAGGTTCACCCATACGTCCCAACAGGAGCGTCCGCGCCGGAAGTTTTAACAGTTCAAATTTTCCCCGGAGGTCATGTGCGAATGTCTGAGTAACAATCAGATTATCCGCGCCTTTTCACCTCAATTCCTAGAGATCAAAACTTCGGTAAATATGAACTCGGTAATGAACTATTAGGTCAATTTGTAAGCTCATGGAATTTTTGCCTTGGTAGTCGTTTTTCTATTAAACAATTGGTTTACGTCAAACTTCGAAAGAGCCAATCTTGCTCTACAAGAACTGCTGTTGTTTTTGGGGTTGACCCAAATTCTTTTGGTTTATGACTTTTCAAAGCAAAGTTTTCTGAGGGGCGAAATCAGCGATATCAGCAACTGCACATTCTGCATTTCGTCCGTGTCACGCAAAATGTTCTCGTAAATAGGCGAATGGCTAGTAACAGACAAGATGGTAAACTGACAAATTTACAACATGCCAATACACTAAGCACCGCTTCAATAAGGTCCTCATAGTTGCTGTTTTCGACTGAGTCGCTCGAGTTTTTGCACGTCGATTAGCGACAAAATGTGTCTGTCCTCCTGTCGGACCTTGACAAATGGATGGATTTTTCATATAGAATTGAATGTATGAATACAAGATCTGGCCAATCACGCTTTGTCAAAATTTTTGGCGGAGAGAATTCTCCAAATTCTACAACGCAAAACAACTGCACATATTTTGGAAGTGCGCTTTATCCTCCTCGGTAAAGCCTCTTCAAAGAAAATGCTACCCTTGTAAGCGCCATAGTCCTGTAAACAGTCCTCGTCGTTTATGAAAATTCAGGTGGAAAATTTTCGTTTATGATTCCGTATATGGACCAAAACTTGCAGGTAACTAAATCGCAATTTTGCTAGTCAAAAGACCTTTTTTGGAAAGCTCTAGAACAAAGGGCATGAGGTTTGCTTCAAAAATAAAAATAGCGCTTGTAGTGTAAGTTTCTTTACAAGTACTTTGACGTGAACCTACCGTTTCCTCGAAAAGCGACGACAGAAATAAAAAACTCCTCGAACTTATGAAACGGCTTAATATATGATGTTCACCATCAAGTAAAAATGCAATTATCATTTAAAACTTGCCCTAGGCCCCTCTATTTAACTACCATCACTGTCGATGATTTCGTGCAGTAACAGTGAGAAAATCTATGTTTTTTGGATGGCATTGTAAGATACACAATCTTTATTTGCATTAGAAATAAAGACACCTGCTCTTGCTCAAAAAATACAGCGTTTTCTAGTTGATTGTTGTGCCGAACCCAGGTTTTTTGATGAATGTATTCGACCGATGTTTCGACGTGCTCGTCTTCTTCAAGATCTAACTCCATTGCATACCATAAGTCCGCATAATGAGACAATAACGGACGTCACGGAATGGCACAACAATCAACTACTGACATCTCAAAGTCTAGGTATAAAGATAAGAGAGCCTTGATCTAGCGGTTTTTTTTTGTTCGTACACCTCTCAGGGCTTACAATTCTTCCCTAAGTCTTGCAGCAAACAAAGTCTAGTTCAATTTGCTCTCGACCGTCCCGGCCTCCAAGGAGTGTGCCTAAGTTAATCATTAAAAAAAGCGATTCCATTCTATTCATCTTTTCTACTGTATCTGCCAAAAGTGACATTGCTAATTTCTTGCAAAGCACCTATAGATAATGCGCTCAAGTTATACGAATGACAGTTTGTAGTTTGTAGTAAAATTAGTCTTGTTTTTTTAAGAAAAATTTGTAAGCCTTCTACAATCAGATGGAATTTTTAATAGGTCACAATGAAATCATATGAACAATAACATGTGTACTTGCCTCCGTCCTCTTCCCAAAGCTTTACTCGAACGTTGCTGGCTGGCTTTGATCCACAGCGAAGCTTCCCCTTTACTGCTATGGACTGATCCCTCATAGCCAACGTCACACCAACAAGGCAAAGAATTACGAGTTTTTTCATCTAAAAAGACTCTAATTTGTTGAAAATTACAGAGAATTAGACCGATGGATGTGAGAACAAGAACAGAATTAGCTTTGTGCAGGAAAGTGAAAAAAGCTGTAATGTCTATCACTTGAATTGGTGGCTATAGTGTTATCGCAGTGTCTGACAGTTCCTGTGACCGAATTGCTCGATAGCTCTATCAGAATCAGATAGGCCAGAATGGTCAATTGACAGTGATAAAGCTTGTTTACGCGCATTAAACTTCTTACTCAGAGTACATGCAAGCAAAGACGATATAAGCGCTGACAAAGTGCTCACACAAACTTTAAGGGAAACTTGAGTCATGAATTTGCACTGCGATGTATCGCAATTCTGCCTTTTGTTTGAGCACCCATAAATGTCACTACTTTTTTCAGCATTCGGCGGAAAAAGTATAGAACAGTAGATATCTGCACATTTACGTGCATTCTAATCCTTGTTCTTTTGTAAAGTTACTTTGTACGCGAATGAGAAATGTTTTGCAGAAATTTTGGGTCAATGCCCTTGACTTGTCCTTTAGATGCGAGCCATTGTTTCATAGGTCATGTCTTATTGTTTCTACAATATGAAGAATCTTGATGCTGGGGTAGAATCTATGAATTTCCAAAGAAACGTGGCTGATGCACAGGAAATGGCATTCTTCAAATGCTTTTGTAGCAACCAGTGGCCGTATTCATCAACGAACCTTGAGATTAAAATCTACCTTGAGAACATGCCTCAAGGTAGAATTTAACCTCAAGGTAACTTTGCTATTCACAAATCTACCTTAAGGTTAAAATCTACCTGGTAGTCAGCTGAATGCTTACTGACGCTTATACAGAGCATGCCATGACGCATTAGCGGTGTATGAAGTCCCTCGCTGTTTGTGAATTTTTAATTGTCAAATTAAACAAACTTACATACTATAGGTTCAATTTCCGTGTTTTAGCAAAAAAAGCATTCTGAGAGACCCGTCGTATTTCACTCAAATGCTCCCAAAAACGTCCAAGAGCGCGGGAAAGCGCCAGAAAGCCCAGCGCTTCCATTCGGGTGCGCAATTCCTAGGAACCACTCATACTTCGCCTAACCACTCTTAAGGCGCTCAGAAACGCCCAAGCGCCAGAATGCTTCCTTTACGAGCGTGACCTTTGCGCTGAAGCGTTAGTTTTGGAAATGTGTATACCAGAACGACTACATTCAGTCACATTTATCATGAAACATGTTCCGATTACATTCAATTTGGCTCAAGCTTTACCATAAAAGTGTTCTTGCTTTGTAAACACAAGCCAACGCTATCTGCATGATTTTCATTTTCTAAGTTAGTAATCTTTCGACCGCTAGAAGGATAGATACCTGTACAAATTACTTTGACACATCGTTCATAATTGCTGCTTGCACTCAAAAACTTTCTGAAACAACATGCTGAGACAACTTGTAAATTGATTGCACCCTGGCTTGATGTCATCATTGCGTTTCTTAATCTACGTTTTTGAGAGATTATGAGTTCCTATTCCGCAATTCAAAATTAATTATAGCGTTGGCTGGCATTTCTAGAAACGTTTGCTAAAAGTTGCGTTCTGGCGCTTTTGGGCTCAGGGGTTTGGACGCTTTTAAGCGCCTTTGGGGGACTATGACACGTCCCTATGGGACCAGCAAATCATCTTCAAAATTGAGCTTGTCAACTGAGTTTCATTAAATACAAGCCCACGCTTCTTGACTATCAGAGTGTAAGTAGATTTGAATTTGAGCTGCGCGATATAAACCGCAAATCGACCTACAATTCAATTCTGTGGACAACCGACGTATGTGTGCCTCTGCGCGCGAAAGATCTTGCTTTTAGCCTTCGCAATAATGGAACTGACGATTTGAGTGAACATGCATTGAAACTGCTTTATATAATTATGCGGCGTTTGTAGTCATTATTTGCGCCAATAATTTTGCTCGCATCAGCTGCAATATCTCCTGACCCAGAAATCAAAATTTGATGAAAAACTAATTGAACCATACACCTTCTCTGCGCCGCTTGCGACAAGAAAACAAAAAAGAAAGCCACCTTAATAGTCCTCAATATATGATTTGCCTTTGTAGAAGTCGTCAAAGCTTCTCCACGGAATTCATCTCCTAAGGTTGAAGCCGTCTTCATTAAACGGGAAGCATAACTTGAGACACTTTCTCGTCTAGTTTAGTGTTTGGAGAAGATACTGCAAATGTGATTGAGTGATTCAAATTTCAAGAATTATATCATCATCACATCTAGGAGAAAAACGATGTGTTGGTATGGTATATCTCTCAAATTACAATTTTTGGGATTAAAATTTGCAATCCAGTCATTCTCACATAGTATCTTTATCAAACTTTATAATAGGATGAATACTGCATTAATTTAGTTCCAGCTGCGACCGAGAATGGCGATTATCTATTTAGACTAACGTTTCGGCAATAAGGGCAAAAGCAATTTGAAAACTACCCGATCAGGCATCTCCTCAATCCTACAAGCAGAATTTCTTGCTTTTCTTGAGTCATAAGCAGTTTGCTACATGCAGTAATCACATTTCATTTGCGGGTAAGGTTCTGAGAGATCGCTTACTGACCGCTTGAAAAGGAACCAAACATTAATTTAGAAAGCCAAACAGCATGATTCTCATTAGTGAAGCTTGGCTGTATTGACGGCCACAAGTATTTTTCCGAAGAAAGAGCTCGCTTGAAGTTCAAATCATCGATGCATATCTGTCATTGGTTCGACGCTTTGCCTATTAATAGTTACTAGCTGGCATACCCGGCTCCGCCGTATGTTCCGAATAGAAAATTCCATTTCTCAACCGATCCGAACCAAACTTGGCACACATACACTTCGGGCCCCGGCGGGTGTCACAGTCCACTTTTCGTTCGTAATCAGCATGCTCGATTACCCCCCTGTGCCAACTCCCAGCCCCGTAGCTCAAATTTTGCAAAAAATCGATAAAATCGATATAGATCGATGACGAAAAGTAGCCTACGACACCCGCCGGGGCCCGTAGTGTATGTGTGCCAAGTTTGGTCCGGATCGGTTCAGAAATGGAATTTTCTATTCGGAACATACGTACAGACAGACAGACAGACAGACATATAGACATACAGACAGACAGACAAACAGACATTCAGCTTTATATATAAGATTAAATGACTCTTAGAGCCTTGAAAACCATGATTCATTCAGCTTTTTATATAAGATTAAATGACTCTTAGAGCCTTGAAAACCATGATTACGGATAAGGAATGAGACTAAGTAAACAAGTAAATTTTGAGCTAGTTTTACAGCCTCTTTCAACCCGGAGTAGATAAAACATTCAAGTGGAGCAGCGCGTCTGCAACGCCACTGGCTCAGCGAGACAGATTAGAATAAAAGTATGCAGACTGCAAGTGGCGCGAGTCCTTGCGAAGCGGACTTCCGCCAGTTTAATTTCCGCTTAAACTGAGTTGAAACTCACTATAGATATAGATATGTTTGTCTTTGAAAACGGTTGCGTAAGAATTGAAAAGGTCCTTAGAAAGAGTTCAACTGTTATGTGCAAAGTCAAGGTAGATTTTAACCCTAGCTATCCCAGGGTTAAATTTTACCTTGAACGCATAATAGAAAGTTGATGGAGAAATGATGACTAAGGTAAATTTTAACCTCAAGGTAGAATGATGAATACGTGTTTATGCGTTTCAAGGTTCATTTCTACCTCGAGGTAAATTTAACTCATGAGAAAATATCATTGCGATCAAGTTGTGAATACGATTTATAAGCCTAAATGCTAGCTGAGGTAGATTTTAACCTTCAGGGTTCGTTGAGGAATATGGCCACTGGACATGATATTTTAGCCATAGGAAGATATGAAGTTGAATCCGGAAAAGTCGAACTCACACATTTGCTCTGCGCGTCAAGAATATTCCTTGCTGTTCCACTTTCAACTTCCTCGCACAACACTGAAGATTCACGGAGGGCAGCCTACGAAGAACCATCTGCGGAAGTTCCCTACTTGACGACTTGAACGACCTTCTAATCAATGGAAAATTCGCAGCTTCCCACCATCGCAGGAATATTTCGCTCTCTTCTGCAAATGGCGTACCTAGTCAACGTTTTCGTACTTGTGATGACATGAGAGAAAAATGTAAAAAGACGGCTGCATCGATCCCGATACAGTGTATCGATGAAACTCAAAACAGAAGCCTACATGGAGGTAACCGTTATCCGCGATAGTAATCCCTCTTTCTTGGCAACATGTCTCCGCCAGCCCGCCGCCACCACTTAAAGGCAATGTTCGGGCAAGATGGGGGTTTTGCTATTTCACTCCCATTCGAAAGTGACCCCCCCCCCCCTCAGACACAGCACTGCGAAAGTACGAGGTCATAACGTTTGACCTAAAGCGAGAAAAAGACCGGAAAGTGGGGAAACTTCCGAGCTGTCCGAATTTCTGTTAAGCGGCAGAGCGCGCATGCCGCCACAGTTGAAATGTAGGGTCCCGCAGCGACTCTGCGTCTTTGCCTTGATGGGGACCGCCAAATTCCAAATTGTGCGGCTTTAGAAAACGTATGTTCTCGCCGTTTTCGCGCCTTCTAGAGTGGATTTTCGGATTTAGCTTTGCGGATAACCCACGGTAAGTGGATTTTCTAGAAATCGAGTTTTTGCCCAGACACTGCCTTCAAGAACTGCGAAATGTAAGGTACCACATTAGGCCGTCGCAACCCTTTCCATATAAATGCCTAATTGAGGATGTCATAGCGATCTTGTAAAATCTACATCGTAATTCATCAAACCCTCTTTTCTTATAGAACAATATCAAAAGCAGTGGATCGGCAAAACCCAACAACTCGGTTTCAACGCGGTAGGTTCCTTATACCCAAGTATGAAAACAGTGCAATCCCGGTTGCACAGCATGCTTTCCCTGCCGAAAAAAATCGCTCTTAAACTTACACGCGAAGGCCAATCTTACGCGCATCTGGACGAGTTGGCAATTTCCTTCTCACCATTGGAGGCT